CCCCCCCCCCCCCCCCCTCCGACGCGCAATGGCGTTGTGACGCCTTAATGCCACCTGCTCACAACCAGAATACATCATGGAGAACACTTCCGATTTCAAGAGCGACGCCTGGAGCCTGGCCAACCTGATGGTGGCTGCTTATCGAAATGGATCCCCCGTAGGTTTTCACTGAAACCTCACGTCCTGTACCCGCCCCCGGTTCAACCCGTGTGCTAACTGCAAATGCCGCCTCCTGCTGCCGACATAGCTGCTTGAATGCCATGATAGCGTCTCCTTGTTTCGACAACAAATTTCTGGTCTGGCCCAGCACCTCAGTGATGTTTTGCCCAAGCTTCCGCCCGCCGTAGCCGCGACGGTGCAGCGTGCTCTCACGTTACAGAGGTGCGCCTCCATCGGCCGTGCACATGCCTGCACCTGACGCATCCTTTACCATGGCACCGGTACTCTTTCCTTGGGTTGCATAGCTATGATCGACCAGATCCCGAAGCCTTGACCGATAGTGCGCACTTTGAATCCCTGGCCATCCGCACCTGCCGCTTTATTGACCACCTGTACGAGAAAGACAACCTCAGCAAATGTCAATTCTTCAAAGACTTGCCCGGCATTCTCCAGCAGATCCCCAAGCGTCTTCTTGTTTATCGCGTATGATCATGACGTGCCTCAACGCACACGCTTCAGCGCGCACCGTGTATTCACCCCCTTACACCAGCTCTGTCGAGTTATTCACGGACCTGTCTGACCCTTGTGGTGCACAGCTCATGCCAGGCCTGGCCTTGGAAAGCCGAGATAAGGTTATGGCACCGTTTGTCTTGCCGAGTATCTTTGCCGTGGCCCAGCTCGTGACGCCCGAGGAATATGAAGAGGAGCTATGGCCAGCCATCGAACCCTTGCTCCACATCCACGACCCGATCCAGGTGCGAACATGTTGCAAGAGGCTTGTGCGACACTTGAGCGCAGCCAAGGACATGCTCATTGGTGTGCCTCGGTCGTCTGGGTGGTAGATTCTTTACGTAATGCTTCAGAACATGGCGACGCTGATCCGCTTGACCAAACCCGACAAGGTATGGATCGTGAGCTAAGGCATCAAACGCGTCCGCGGTGCGGCGCCGTACTCAACAAACCTCTGCCTTGGCTACCTTTGCTGGCCGCAGATTCAAAAGCACATCTTACCGGCCATCTACGACGCCATGAGTGGACGAGACCAGCAGTACGAGCACTTGACTCCTTCGATGGCTACCAAGTCTGACCTGCGCCCCTGCTCATATGATGTGGCGCGTTCTCTGCTTCTCCAGGGCTACGCTGCAGTCTTTGGGTGAGCTGCCGAATTTTGCGCACGTCATTGGCTATGACGCCCTCAAGTCTGAAATTTTGCCTCGGATCGAGGTGAGCTTTTGAATCTAGATCAGAGTGTGCATGGTCATACATCATGCCAGCCTGATCTTCAGTGCTTGTACCTTCATGACATTGTGTCTCTGTCGCTGCTTTTGGCTTTGTCGCTGTCCCCGTCTTTGTCTTTGTCTCTGTCTCCCCTGCCTCTGTCTTTCCGTCTCTCTACATCTCACCGCGTCGGGTGGTATAGAACCTTTGTATCAAAGGCTCAGTCACCGTCACAATCAACGGACTGGTCTGCCTCGGGCGTATTTTGGAACATCTCGACAAGGCCATGTTTCTGGTTGGTGGCTGGAGTGTGCTGGCAGGTGTCTTCCACCACACACTTTGCGCACACACTCTCACTCACAAAGAGGTTGCTTGGTATCGCAGGAGTGTGTTTGCCCCCTGCTCGGTCGCGTGCGATCGCGCGATCCAGGCGTGGTCATGAGCATCATGGGCGTCATTCATGCGGTATCTGCTGTCCGCCATCCGGCTCGCGTAGCGGGCTTGCAAAAGCCTCCCCCGCAGGCTCAACCTGCTTGATCCACCCTGACTCACTTGCGTGGTTTTGGGCGCTACAGGCAATGAAGGATCAAGGCCGGCTGGGGTTGGACGCGACTTTTCTGGCAACAAAAATGCTTCCCTTTTTGATCCCACTGACCATGGCACCTGCCCTGAATGACACACAGGTCAGAGAGAAACGGCATGGATGCGATCTCCTCGTTAGAGTGTGCTCGTTCCCCACTCGCCTCTTTCTCATGCATTGTGGTCTTGGACTGGGATGACATCCCCTGTTTGCGGCGCACAGTTGGGCAAGATGTTCAAATTGGTGCGGGGCATGCTCGATGTGGTCCAAGCGGCTCGATTGGAAGAGGCCCACCGTGTTGAAACCCTATCAAGCCTAACGGCTGAAGCTGGTACAGCTGGAGCTGGTGCAGCAGGGGCCGCGGCCAAGTCTGTGAGCCAAAGTGGTGATCATGACTTTCTCGCCCAGCTTTCTCAGGCTTCATCGGCGCATTCGAGTGAAAGCAGCGTGAGCAAGCCTGCCGCCGTGGCGAACGGCGCTGAAAAGGGCAGGAGCGCGGGTGACGTCGACCTCTTGGGGTGGACTTCCGCTGCCTCGGCCTCAGCCCCAACATTTTCCTCAGTGCCAGGACAGAACCCATTTGGCTCGGATCCGGCTGGGTCGTCTGTAATGGATCGCAATGGCACGACCTCCGCCGCACATGGCGCAAACGATTGGGCATTTGGGTCCAACCCTGCGCCTGCTGCCTCCGCCTCAGGCCCAATTCCTCAAATGCAAAACCCCTTTGCTTCCACGGCAACCTCAACATTGTCGAATGACTTTGATTTGCTGGGCTTTGGTTCTAGCGGGCCTGCTGCACCCAGCTCGACCGCGGCTCCAGCACTCGATACTGGTACAGATGTGTTTTTCTCAGGCCTTGGGGCCTCGACGGCCTCGTCCTATGTCCCGCCCACTGTGCCGACCTCGAGCTTTGGTGCTTCATCCACGGCGGCTCCCAGCAAGAGCAAAGTAGATCTCAGCGAGTTTGACGTTTTTGCTTGAGCCGATAGCGCCTTGCCACCTCGTACCATCCTTACCCGCCATGCAACCGTGTTCATATACGCTTAATCGAATAGGAGAAGTGAGAGGGCTCCGCTGTCTCAGACTGTAGCCGTTTCTTTGGGGGGTTGAAGAGTATGTAGACATTGGGCAAAGAGAAAAATGCCAGCCCAGAAAAAAACTCCCGAGGGGGCAGACAAACAGACGTATAGCGGCATCCAGCCCAAGAGCCAGCGAGAGGAGTGCGTTCCCCATACATTTTGATTTTTTTTTTTTTTGCTTTCTTTTTTTCTCTCTTTCTCTATCTCTCTCTATTTTCATTTTTTTTTTTTTTTGTGCTGTGTGGAGCATGAACAACATGAGATGGCGAATGGGGTGCAATGACCTGTTTATGGCGTGGTGGTAGATGAACTGGTACAGCTACGTGAGGGAGCGGCTCGTGTGAGGAACCTTGATTTGCGGCCACCATGAGTGGGAGCAGTATTTTAAACACCTTGGCGCAGAGTGACTTTTCGCTCGCAGCTCAGGGGGTGCATTCGCCGCTGCAACCAGCGTCCCGTCCTGATACGAACCATGACCAGCCTGATGCATCCAGCCAAGCACATAGCTCGGCCAACGCCACGTTCGCCCAGCTCAGCATGGCGTGTTTTGATATGAGTGGCGTTCCAGACCCAGAGAGCGGTATCGGCCTTGAATCTCATTCTACACAGGTGGCGGAAAGGCCAATCGCGCACGCACAACCACGCACGCATGGTTTCACAGACCGCGCGCGATCACAGCCGCTGGCGGCATCTTTGGGTGCTGAAACGGCCGAGCTGCCGCGGGCTGAAGTTGCACTCAGGCAGGCCCGCCTTGAGCAGCTACAGCGTATCCATGTACGCCGGCCTCGACACTTTCAGGAAGACTGTCGTGCTCTTCTCACAGTCATTCTCCTTAATGAGCTGCGTTCTCGTACCATGGACACCCCCACCAGCATTATGAAGCGTCTAGCTAAGCACACCAGTGTGTCCTACAAGCTTTATCGAGCAGTCTGGGAGCCCGTCATGGACCGTTTGCAGGCGCTTCTGCTGGCCGATGAGACCGATGAGCACGATCACTTTAGAACCGACATGGAACACGACTTGCGCAGCTGACAGCCGTGGCATCGAAATCGTGGTTCAAGGCTGAGCCTTGAACTTGTTATCTGATTCTTTTTTTTTTTTTGTTTTGTTTTGAATGAATGGAAGCGTATCACTGCCGATGTGTGAGGCGACAATTTCGATTATCAAGTGCAACCAGATTGCCTGGACATGCTGCGCGCATACACGTGAGAGTACACACATGCACACGCGCGCACACACGCACACACGCAGATACATGCAATAATAATATGCTATTTCCAGAGTCACACGGCAGAGAGAAAACAGGTGTCTTCGGAGCACACGGCAGAGAAAAAACCAGTGCCCTGTTCCTGTGCCAATTGGCTACAATGAATTTTTGAGAACTTGCATCTAGAGGTGGTGTGCAAGGGCGAGGTGAGTGAGAAGACGGTACCAGGAGCATCACCGGCACCAGACATTCTTGGCGAGTTTTTGAGCTGCAAACATCAAAGGAGCTAAACATAATTCATCAAATGTAGCAGCTATAGTCTCAAGGCGGGTGAGCTAGCTGTGTCGGACCCACAAGCCTGGACACACGTGGAGAGTGAGCCGGATCGGACCATCAAAAGCAGCAAAGACCCAGACCCCGGGTTGTGATGAGTGCAAGGCCAGTCGTGTGCGTCTGGTTTTCTCCCCCCCCCCCCCCCCCAA